GGACACTAAGATGGCTATTCAACTAGTCCAGTCATCGAAGAAATCGTATCACATTCAGGTAGAATATACCATTCATTTACCAGATATTGAGAGTATAGTACGACAGTGAGCTCTTGCTTGCCATACAATAATGGGACTTGATTTGTCAGAATTACTGCATAAGATTCAGAAACTGACCACTAATGAAATATAGAAGGAAGCTCGATTGGAGCAGGAGAAAGGAACGTTTTGCCATAAAGAGTCCAGCTTTAATCAAAACAATGTATGTTCTACAAAAGGGCTAGGAGAGATGACTATTGAAGTAGGATGAAATCAGACACTTATGAGGTGACGAGTGGTAGCAACAATCAAGCGAGTAATGCTGAGGCTAAAAATAAGAATCCCACGAAAAAATGCCATCTGGGAGAATACTGCACATGAACGGTATTTTTTAAGTAGTGGGTCTATATTCTTGTTAAGTATATAATGTGATCACGATTATTATTGGTTTTAACAGATACAGAACGGGATCACTGACACCATTGTTTTACTAGAAGCTTATCAGTAGCAAGCTTGAAAATGTTAGTATTTCAACTGTTTTAATCTCAAAGTTAGTCCAAACAACAATCAGAGTAAGAATGATGATATTAATGCTAACACACATGAGAATTGAAAATATTTAGATTTTTAACGAAAAGCTACAGACTCGCACTGGCTGTTAGTATTTACTTCATACACAATTCAGTCTAACTAAAAGCCATTATCAAACATGATAACTTGAGGGAAATGTCTCTCATTATGAGGCGAAGTGATAAAGCACTATATTTTCCTCAATGCTGCTTAGGGAACCAAGTTGATAAGTAACAAAAAAGAAATAAAGATTTATTAGCTTCTAAAAACTGAGCCATCATCATCAACAAGACACTAATAAAGCCAAAATTAACTGCGTCAGACAGAATATTTTACCGTTCTATGCAAATTAAAAACTCAGAAAAGGAAAGAAAGAGAAGAATGTTATGACTCTTGTTCGGTTAATTATTAAGTGACTAAATTGCCAATAAAAAACCGACGTATACGACCTCGGAACAGTGCCAAATCAATGACGCGTTAACCAGTACGAGTAGTCTACAGTCAACTATGACTCCTTATTGGTTATTCTTTCCTGGCCGTCTGTTTCAATCCAGAACACAATCTCAGATTCCACTATATGCATCAGGTATTTCAGACATACTCAGTTTATATACAAGCAAATCAGATCGCATTATGCCATAAAACAGAACATATGAATTGTGCAAGATCAAGCCAAAAAGTGGTTGTGATTGTGAAAGACTGTAACTAATAAATTTGGCAATAACTTGAAAATAGTAAATCGTATAGTAGTAGTCAATAGGAGATTATAACAAGAGGAATATGAATGTACATACAATATAGCTACCCAATTGTTATCTAATAAGAATATACGTAACAACCGTCCATAGATAATTCCTAGCAGTTACCATTCATTCTCTGTTAGGATAATAATAAAGACCATCTTTAAGAAAAAAACAGTGACAGAACATGTGGCCATATCATTAAGTAGGCGTAGCCACAACTCGATCAATAATAGTATTCTGTAAAGTACAACCTACCTTCAGATGTTCGATGATTTCGAATAAATAAAGCATTGGGTGGATTGTTTGTAGTGATGAAAGTTTCACAAATATACTATTATTTTACTACCTGAAGATATTTTACCGCTTTGAACAGTAGAGAATTATTTTGGTCAAATGGAAATAAATTACAAATAAAGTTAACAAGGGAGTTGGTTAGACTATGTGTTGGTTTTCAATAGGCTGGTGTTATGATCCCCGTGTGTGGAATTTAGAAAAATACCTTTTGCATCTTACAAAAAGATGGTGAGACAGAAAAACGAAATAGGGATAGTTTTTTTGAGTAATTTGTCATACGGTACGGTTTATTCATGCTTTGTATATCATTATATGCAATCATAGACACAATGTTTAACTATGTAGTACTCAATCGCCAATAGCATATGAGGATAAAATAAGCCTGACTACTAAGCTATATAAGTAAATTATTTTTTACAATGATTCTAGATGATTTCAATATGTAATAAGAGCTATTCTTAAACGCAAAACTTGATACTTCTTGGCAATGGAGGATTTCAAGAGTTCATAAAAACCAATGACAAAGTCGAAAGAGAAATTGAGCATCAAGTTTTGTTTATATAATTTAATAATAGTTGTAATGAAGTACAATTATTTTCCTATCTCAGACAAAACACTATGTCAGTATTGGTCACCACAGAGGTCGATCCAACGGACAGGGTTAGAGTAAATGCTAGTTATTAGCAAGAAGTACTATTTAAAGCTCTTCCTCTTAATACACAAATCAAGAACCATAGTGGAAATTTAATGAGAATCCGCTTAATTTGTGAATCCTCTTCAGCTGTTAACATCCTTTCTGATATATGGTTATTAACAGTTGATCAGTCGTGTGGTAATAGTTAATCTTAAACAAGTCATCATAAAGATTGAAAACAATTTCACCTACTCACATATATGTATAAGTCAAACAACTTATATTGTGATGATCGGGTGTTTTGTATATAATACCAAATATTGGTGCATAAATGACAATTTTAAAAAACAAGTCAGAGATCAACGCGGTTTGCAATGGACTTAATAGCTTTTCGAACTACTGAGTTTGACCTCAATAACCAGGGTTTCGAAATGTAAGCTGATTTTGCGTGACGCTATTAGAAATGTAAAAATTGTCAAGAATTGCAGTAGTGGTCTATGATAACGATAGGTTACGCGAGAAATACGACATTTAGTTTACGAAGCGGCGGCCACTGAGTCTCTTATAATGAATCAAGACAGAAGCGGTAAAAGTGTACTGAATAGATTAAGAGAAAGGGAATTCTCTTTTTCTCATTCAATGACACTATGGGCTATTTTAATTATCTGTATCGAATAGGTAAAAAGCGTCATTTAATATAATTAATTAATTTGCAGAGAAATAGCGATCTAACTCAGTCCGTACCATTGAATAACACTAAAGTAGATAATCCAGACAATTCTTAAAGTATCACCTAACGATCCTTGTGCTAAAATATTTATAATAAGTCAATCATAATCAATCTAGAGAGTGGTACATGTATGCATTGACTCAAGCTACTATATAATACTAGAACATAGATAAAATTACCAAGAATAATGACAAAGTACTAGAAGTTATTAATCCAAAGAAACACCAAATACAAATAAACTGACAAAATTCCAGCTTTCAAAACATGATTCACCACGGTCTGACGTACGATGCAGCACATAGTACGCAAGGATGAACCAAAATGCTCATACTCCAGTCCATACTTGGTCAGTACACGGATAGTCATTCAAAAATCGAACTAAATAGAAATTATTACGCTGTGTGACCCTAATGTAACTCCGCCCGGAGTCCCTCCGGGGGCTAATACCGGTCCCAAGCCCGGATAAAGGGGGAGATATCGTAAAAAAACTCGTCCATGATCTTAAAAAACGAATGCCTGGAGCTTAATTAAGATAGCGATTTCCTGACTCAGTATGTAGATGTAGCGAAAGATATTTGATAGGAACACCGAACTACCGACAAAGCCTCATCATGGACATACCTCGTGTTTAGCCATTTCTAGACTAAGTGCTAACCACATCTTCACACAAAGTTACTGTCCACACCGCCATCTTCCTCACGTTGGAATCTATTTAGCTCGCTAACACATGCTTAGAACCGAATATATAATTACGGACGCTAAACAGCTAATAAATGAATGTAATCATGTCGGAAAACGAACGACCTGAGCAGTTGCGAGTTAACTGTGCTCAACAAGTTTCCAAGGATATTTTCAAACGAGCTCAGTGGATGTAGACTTGACAAAATACATTTATTCTAGTGGTTTTAGTGGAAATCCTTGAAGGCGTAAAACCATTGATAAGCAAAACTAAGCTCACAAACTAGGACTACTTCGAAATCCGTGAGTTAGAAACAGACCTGATAAGACTTTTGGCCTAGCGAACACAAAAACGCACGGGGTACAAGAGTAAGGGCGGGTAACGTCGAGCAACACCACCTCATGTACAAGTGAAGACAATCCCTGGGGAGGGGAATTATAATGTACAATACATCAAATGACCGCACCCTTATAAGAAACCACGCCTATAGTTCAGTCGAGTGTGCACAAAAAAGATAGACTTGACAGACTGTTAGTATATTTTGTGGTAATCAAACCTTACAATAAACATAACAGAACCAAGAAACAATCAATGTACATGAATGTAGGGATTACCACATAATAAAGATTACGAAGTAATGAACAGTGGACTGAAAAGTCAATGAGTGGACATACCGATTGGTAAATAATAACCTTGAAGAAGCAGCTAAGAGAGTTTCGTCCATAGAAACATTACTTATTTGGCAAAGACGGCACCACAAATGGATAAAGGGACCTATGGCATCGATCGAGCAAGGCATATATTGCCTGAAAATTGACTTATCATACTACTTATACTAGATGTGATGAAACTTGGTCTTTAGACAGAGAATTTGCCACATTCGCAATAAATGCAGCACAATTCGTGGAACGGCAGTTGATGAACCACAAGAAAAATCAAGTTTTTGAAAAAGCACATTAATTAAGAAAAATCAGCCCGATTATGTGCGAAAAAAACAAAGAAACCAATGAAAACTACCAAACAAAACTGTACACTTATCAAGAAAAAAAATGAAAAGTCATGATCAATACTATGACCGTGAAAAGAAAATATTGCACCTTCTGGGAACGGGGACAATTCCCATTTTGAAAATATTAAACATTTCAGCGAACTTAACAAATAATGTTAATCAGAAATTAAAGAAAGTGATAGTTCATAATCACACAATCGCAGAACTAATAGGCTGACATAAGTGAACTTATAGTAGTAATAAACATACACAGCACTTGGGCATATTATGAAAACATCATATATGAGTAAGAAACAAATAAGTCAGTTTAATGTAGCATTGATTATTAAGCCGGAACTTAAATCTTCCTGCTTTGCATGTAGAACTAAAGTGTCGGCCAAATTATGTGAGGAAGTTAGGACTGTTGTAGATGAGGACTGACCAATAGAATCAACAATAAGTCTATCATGACCTATAAGCGTAGATGCAGAAGGCAAGACGTGGTTTGCAGCACAAATCGTATCAGATGTTGATCGGTGCGCCATCGAACGTGGTATAGGATGAATATTGTGCAAAGACTCAACGGGAGCGGGAGGAAGATGAGAATGAGGTGACAGAGATGGAGGGTCACACAGAGAATCCAATGCTGATTTTATGGTAGAAAGGCCAGATGACGTAATACATGACGAGGAAAGTGGAGTGGAGTGCATTATGTTCTTATCACCATTCGGGCTTACATTTTGGGTGACTAACATAGCATTTTGTCCGCCAACAACTAAATGACTCAGCAACTGAGATGGCAACACATTTGAGTCACCAGATGATAAAAGCAAGGTGTTACGAGCATCTTCACTAACAAGACAGGGTGCATTGAGATGGACGTCAGAATGGTTCATAGATAATGATGGATCCGGAGTTAAACTAGGCGGTGCAGGGGATGATGAAAGCTCGACAGAAGTTGGAATAGCTGAATGACAACCAGGGATTCGATTAAGGACTGAGTCATTCATTGATTCAGCAAGGTGTGGGGTGGTAATTGCATCATGTGCTGACCGTACAACACAATGATCACCCATGTGGGTGGACATGCGTGCACTGTGGTTGGGTGGAGACCCTTCCAGACTATGAACTGGGGAAGACGTTGAGGCAGTTAGTTGTACATCTTTGTCATCTACCCACTTGTCAAGAGATCTGCGACGAGCATTCATGAAGAAATTAGCAACCGTAGATACTTCCAGATTTAACTGCTGCGCAATGGTGGCTTGCATTTCTTTGCTAGGACGCTTAGTTTCTTTGAAAATAGCATGTAACGTGCGTCTTTGAATATCAGTAAAAACAAGTCGAGGTTTTTTTGAAGAGCGTTCATCTTGAGCTTTCTGAGTTTCTTCTGTTTTTCGTTTACACGCTGCAAAGATTGTGAGTTAAGGAAAACAACTTACTTGCAAGGCGTAAGGCAGACATCCGCTGGTACTCAGGTTCGTTCAACCAGTTCCACATGCGTCTAAACGTTTCACGTCCTGACTTTAGCTTGCTCCAAGGTTTTGGGTTTCTAAGCAGATCAGAAAGCGTCCCTTGGCTTCGACACAGAACTCGTTGTGCAAACACTGCTTGTGGAATGCTGTACCTCTTTAGCTCTGCGCTTATTCTTTGGGCTAAATCCTAAAAGGCAGCAATTTAGGATCAAACAATCAAATTACCTTAGTGTTGAGTTCACTCATATCATCTGGCAGGTTTTGATCATTACCTTCCTGATCACTGCCATCAACTTGAGGAATAGGTGATACGTTCCCTAAGGGAGATATGAGGATAGAACTTATATTACCTGGGTCAATTAGCTTTACGGGTTTAACATTCATTGATTGATTAAACGTATTTTGGGATGTAACAACAACTGGCGACGCATTCAAATTGCCAGACTGATTAGTGTGAGCATAAGCTAAAGCAATATACAGATAGAGCAATCTTACCAGAATTCCCATCATGTATTTTTTCATTGTTTTTTTGCATTACCGGTTTTAAATCCTCAATAGCGTAACTGTGGCTTTGCTGAATTGATTCGTTATCGTTGGCGATTTGACTATAAAGCTTGTCTGACACGGAGGTTATTGGTGGGAGGGAAGTCATATTTGTGTAATTTGTGGACTTGGAGCCTTCCGATGAATTGGGCTTATCGTTGCCACTAGTCATCTCACCCAGCTGCATTGAAGTAAGCCCAGCAAAATTAAGATCGGTAGCTAATAAGTTATCAGGCAGGGTGAGAGTCATGCCATCTAAACTTTGCTCAGGCATAGTGAAATGTGTAGAAGGGGTAGTAAGAAGAATAGTTTGTTGATCTCCACAGTTGATAAACGTCAGCTTGACAGTTTGAACACCTTGAAGTGCTTGTGCACCACCTTGCAAAGCTTGTAGTTCTAGAGGACCGGAGTCCCCAGTGTTAAAAATAGGAATATTCTCTAAATCACTGAGTGGGAGACCAATTTTACCGGGAGCAAGAGCACCTATAGGAACAGGAGCCATAGTTAGTGTCCCACAACCGGAACTAGCAGGTATTCCAGAAGAAAGCATCCTGGGCTTAGAAACAATGTTTACTCCTTTTCCAGGAACAGATAATCCATCCTCATGACTCTGCCCATTTAGATCAAAATTTTGACTGTCAAGAGCAGCTTTTAGAGAAATGTTATTGAGTGCAGCTTCGTCATGCAGGGAAATACCACTAATCAGTGACTGGAATGATCTTTCAGTCATTTAGCATCCAGGATGTATGTAAATAGCCGTCTAAGAAGCAAATTTTAACGACCTTCCAGAAAGCGTGCGAAAAAATTCGATCGAACTTATCGACGTTCTGCGGTCAATACTGCGAAGGACAAATCCATTATGGCCGTTCGATATGAGTGCGCGTGGTTGGTCGATAATCTGTACCGATATAGTACCAGGTTTTTGACTGAATACTGTAATTGTTACTAATTAATTTAATTTTAAATTATTAATTGAACATGCAAATAGCTAATTATTACATGAAGGCTCATTTTTAAATCAAATGTTTTGTTGATAAGTTGTAGCACAAAAGTAGTATGCTGCAAAATACCCTCATTTTTGTAGAGCAACCGCTCAATATGAAACTCGAACAGTGTAGTAAGTACAGTCCATAATTGCTCATATTCCTACTTACTACATGTTTTAATATTATGTATTATTTAGAATCATTTAGACACCAGCAATATTAGGTTGGTATCACTACAAAGTGCTCAGAGTCCGGTTGGATGAATGATTGTACAACATAATTAAGATTAATACATCCCTATATTGTCCCTTAGGTTTCTCCTGAGTAATTTAGTTTTCAAATATTCGTCATCACAATATCACTGAGGCAGAAGCAATGCGTCGGAGACTCATTCTAGTTTATATGACACTTGTATGCACACTTGTCCATACAACTGGAAGGTTGTAACAGAGTGAGACGGGCAATGGTATGTTTCCTCGTCGAGTAGGTCTTGTAGTTTTAGTTATCCCAGAGTGTAAAAGCTTCTCTCATACTTATTTAAGCCGGGTTTCTAGTTACAGTTACAGTGTCCATCACTTTTAGAGCTTCCACAACACTTCTAGGGATGAGCTCTTTTGTTTCTGTCGTCTTTCATTACTCGGTTATAAAGTTTTTTGTATTGGTTCTGTGAACTCACTTAATTTCAATGACAATTAAAACGTCGTTGCTTCAGACTCATATGTTTATCTCCGACCGAGGATGGAATACCATTAGACAACTGTAACAAGTGGTATCACAACATATGCACCGGACTCACACCGGTTGCATATATGGTGTTGCAAGCCAGTACCTAGTTAGTAGTTCGAGGCATGCTGCTCTACAAAGTCTACTGGAAACCGTGATTGTTTTCCACCGCAAAACATGCTGTTAATAATTGTTGTAGTCTTTTTTGGTCAGAGGTTGGTATGCGTTGGATGATTGCTGCTTTGAGTTTATCATAGGACCATGTTCCTGCACTTGGTCGATTAAGTCTCAAATTTCTGCAGCGATCTCAACCGGAAAGGCACATACTCTGCCCACATATTTGGTTGCTTGTGATCGGGTTCCTTGTGCCAAAAATAAAGCTCTCTGAGCAAACCAGATCGTTTGATTTTTACCCAGTATTATGGAAATCTGAAGTCCGAAACAGCATTAACTGTGGTTATAATGTGTTCAGTGATGTAAATCAGACGAAGCTTCTATTAGAGGACACTCGATTTCATCAAGATCGTTATGAGAATACATTATACGAGGAAACCTACCGGTCTGGTGTAATAATCAGCATAATCAACGAAATAAACGTTCGGATTCACCAGATAATTGTAAAACCTATGAAAATTAATGAAGAAGTGCGAATAATTACAAAATGTCTATGTTAACTATCCCCACATGCTCCTTTTCAATGGATCTACTACCCTGTAGATTTTTTAGGTTTAGTGAGAACTGTATTAGAACGACACATATAAGCGAAAAATTGTTTTCAATTAGATCGTCTTCAGGCTTTACTCTAATATACACGAGTATTTATACGAAAATGTAAACCAATCAAGGCAATATGGGTCAATAATCACAATGAAATAGAATAAGTCACTACACATAACAGGTAAAAGTACAAGTTTATAGTAGGAAAACAGGTGAACTGATAATAGTAAGAATAATAGAATACGATAACATAAGTCTTATCAATAGTTAAACGTTGGGAATAAAAGGTCAAACAAACGTGGGTAAATAGACTAGGAATAGTAATCACAAAACATTAGCCATTGCGAAATAAGATGAGACTATTAAGAAAATTGATTTATATTGCCGCTACATTGACGACACCTTCATTATCGTAGATCAAAACACAAGTAAGGAGGAACTCCTAGAACAATTCAACAGTGTGCACCCAGCGATCACTTTCACTGGTGAAAGCGAGCATGATAAGAAGCTGAACTTCCTTGACGTCACACTAAGCAGGCGAAGTGACGGCACATTAAGTAGAAGCGCACATAGAAGAAACCCCTCTTCATGCCAATATACTCGCTTCTTCAGTTTCACACCTATCCGTTACAAGAGAAACTTGGTCAGATGTCTCACTAGCAGAGCAAAAAAGATCTGTACAGTAGATACTCTAAGTCAGGAGCTTGAATTTATCAACACACTGACCGAGATAGGCTATCCCAGTGCTTTCATTAAGAAGTACATGTATGACATAATAAAGAAGTCGGAGATTTCGACTGTTCGTAAGAAACCTTTATACATAAAAGTGCAATTCAATGGGGATGTGGCTAGTAACACTCTGAAATATAGGTTAAATAAAGTAATCACGAAGACATTCTACGCAATCAATCTAGTGTTGACCTTCTCTTGTCGACCAGCGATGTCTACTGAAACGAAGGATAAGTTACCTGAGTTGGCCTCTTCTATGTACATTTACAAATTCGGCTGCTCCTGTGGAGATAGCTATATAGGGCGTACTACCAGGCAACTTAACCAACGAATGAGTGAACGTCTACCAACTTGGTACATGAAGGGCCAGATAAAATCTATTCGCAGTTCTATCTTGGCACATCTCATTGATAGCGGTCATGCTGTAGATAAGTCGAAATTATTTCGAGTTATCTATCGTATACCTCCATCATTTTCCAACGGAGTTCGTTCTCGCCTCCTACATATAGCTGAAGCCATTGGAATTCGTACATATAACCCTAATTTATGTGTACAGAAGAAATACATGAACCCCCTATCTCTTCCATGGTCAGTTATAACTTAACTAACGAGTTTTTTTAAATTTTATTATTATCATTATTTATTTTATTCTATTTGTGTTGTCGTTAACCTTATTTTCACATCTGGTATTTGTTTGTAATTTTCCGCCTCTTCGTATTCTTCACTATCTAATTATTTACACACATCTTATTACGTAATGATTTTAATGTTTTGTGATTACTGTTCCTAGTCTATTTACCCACGTTTGTTTGACCTTTTATTCCCAACGTTTAACTATTGATAAGACTTATGTTATCGTGTTCTATTATTCTTACTATTATTAGTTCACCTGTTTTCCTACTATAAACTTGTACTTTTACCTGTTATGTGTAGTGACTTATTCTATTTCATTGTGATTATTGACCCATATTGCCTTGATTGGTTTACATTTTCGTATAAATACTCGTGTATATTAGAGTAAAGCCTGAAGACGATCTAATTGAAAACAATTTTTCGCTTATATGTGTTGTTCCAATTTTCACAATGGGAATCTTTAATATTCTAGATCTGTATTAGATAAAGTTATGGATTATTGCTCTAATTATCTGATCAATGCGATTACAAACAAATATGTAGAAGGATGATTTAATTTCTAGTAAGATGCTACAAGTAAACTGTAGGTACCATTATCAAGGTTTGGCTTGATAATTTCAAATAAATTGGGCATTGGGTAGATTGTTATAAATAAAATATTTGTAATATCCCCATGAGTAGAAAAATGAGGTTTTCTGACGTTTCGTGACTCGTAAGTCACTTCTTCAGAGAATATATAACCAAATCAAAATCCAAGTTTAGATAGTACTATTTTACAATTATTTTATTTGAAATAAGCAAACTTTCCCAACACAATTTGATGTGGTGTTTAATGTGGTCAAGATGATTTACTTAATTCTACGAATTAATTTCCTATCATATAACTTTAAAAACCCGTAGTCATTCTAAAATCTTTTCACATCTTAAGTAATCTACTCCAAAGATAGCTAATTATGTATATTAAAAAGGCTCCGGATTTAGGGGTATTACTGTTTGGTATTTTTTTTTGTTTGGGAATGGAATTTTTGTTCAATCGCTAATTCTTTATTGCACTAACCCAACAACAGTCAGATTTTGGGATTGTTTTACCATTGTAGATCTTAATTTATTTGTTTATTTGAACATATAGATATTGGTACAAGGGGTCACGAGATACATATGCGCCAAATATCTCGTTTGATTTGTGTGAGGGCTGTGATACTGCTCGGGTGCCCAAAACGAAGCAGGTTTAGGTCTTAATATACGTTATGTTGTTTGATTTTGATTTGTGTGGCGCATATATATCTAGTGCCCCCTTGTACTAATATCTATGTGTTCAACTAAATAAAATAGATAAATCTAATGGTCTTTTATTTTATTCATACTCAACTAATGTATTTATTTTCGTCTATGGTTGTGTCTAGCAAGGAACCGAGATAACACGTTTTGTTGAACAAGTGTAACTGCATCCTATTTTTTTAATTAGCATTCTCATCAAAGTCGAAAATCGCGTGGTAGGAACTCCCTACTTCTGAATTTGTTTTTTAAATAACCGATTGTTTCGTAAGCAAAACTGTAAGGATAACTAATGATGTACGTAAACTGAGCATTTATTTGTAGTCATTATTGTTGATTTTTCATAGAAATTCACTCAGTAAATTAGTTTACGTGGAAGGTAGGTTTCTTAATGCTTTTGTATTAGCACACATCATCGAAAATCACGAAATAAGTAAATGAACTAGTAACAAAATAACCAATCCTATTATCTGATCATTTGTCTGATATCGTCAGTTGATCCCAAAAATCTACATTCGAGCTGAAAATTATTACTTCTTGATTTGATCTCTTTAAGATTATAGAAAAAAAAGAGTAAAACTTATTAATCTAACATTTACATGCTCGCTTATGGCACTCTGTACTAAGTCATTTCATTATTCAGGATTATCTTATTTCTGATATGAGG